CCACATGTAAAAGTTGTATTTTTACCTCCAAATACAACATATTTAATACAACCACTGGATTGGGAAGTTATTAAGTCATTCAAGTGTAACTACACAAAAAAGTTATGAAAAAACTAGTTACATCAATGGACTCTGATTCCAACTTGGCAGTACCAAGCTTCTGGAATAAATTTAACATTGCAGATGCTATCAGCTATGCTAGAAGTGCATGGAATGAAGTGCTCCAATCAACATTAAATGCAGGCTGGGGAAAGTTATGGCCTTCTATGGTTAACTCTTTCACTGGTTTCCCCTTACAGACTTTCTCACTGAAGAGGACCCTGACAAATCTAGAAGCAGTGCTTTGAAACGGGGTCTAGACCAACTGATGATGCCTTACTGTCAACTGTATAATGTACTGCAGGGTAAAACAGCCCAGAGAACCATTACAGAATTTATGCACACTCCAATACAACCATCAACTTCAGTACAGGTCCGCCATCACAAATCCGGCAATCAGTTATTCGGTTCCTTCAGTTATTTGGCACCAATTTTGGCTAGAATAATTTCAAATTTCCAGGGTCGCCACACCAACCTGCTGGTACTGTTTCGTGGTGCTACTTGCTTCGTAAGTCATTCCAATTTCTTTTTCTCCATTTATTGTTTTAACCTGTTTACTTTTAGTCCTAGCCATGGTTCCAATGAATAAAAGAAATGCTTCTCATTATGTAAAGCATCAACACAGTACATTATCCATTAAAGATAAGGTGGCTTTGAAGCCACTGTCGGTTGCCATGAGCTCAGTCTCATGAAGCAGGAGAATATGCTTTATTATTACGCTAATATCAACACTACAGCTTATTTGCCTATCACAATTGATCTAATATGACATAAGAAACAATATAAATAACATAAAACATGTTAAATACTCCAGAATGAATAATATTTGGCATAATACCGAGCAGTTTGATGGAGGTATGAAGAGGATATGGTATACAAATACCATTCTCCTATCCCTGTCTTGGTGGTTTATGTTAAGAGAAAATGGAGTGTAGCACAGGGCTAACTGTGATGTACACTCATACTGCACCATAAACCTGAAACAAAAAAGCTATTTTCTCTCTATAGATTATCACACGTAACAGCATATGTGTAGAGAACCTAGGATAACCCAAAATAAAGTCAACGTGGCTTATTTTTAGTACATGGCTTAGGTTAGCCATATATGATTTTTGGTAAATATTCGATTCCCAGCCAGGGCAGAAACATTAGGCGTGTTTCTTTACACCTGTTGTCTATGTTTACCCATCAGTAAATGGGTACCTGGGTGTTAGCCGACTAGTGTGGGTGTTATCCTGGGACAATGACCAATTTTCTTGAAATACGTACTCTGCATAACAAGCGGCTTTCTATATAGCAGTATGTCACTGATATCAGCTAGGCCTGTATACCTTGTACATGTATGTGTAGTAAATAAAGATATTATTATTATTATTTTATTATTATTTTCTCAATTGTTTGTTGGGTTATCTTATTCAAACTTGGGCAATGTACGATGGAAAGATACCTCTTAACATACACCAAAAATGAAAGAAATCAGACCATCAATAGCGGAGTTCACTTCTCAGCCATTAGCGGCCGATTAGCGGCATATTTTTGTATGGTTTTTATTTTTATATTCTCATCTTTTCAGTCTCATTTGATAGAATGAAAGATATATTACACAAACAGACATGATTTTGATTGCTTTCATGACGAAAAGTACCTTGAAATTGCGCTCACAGTAGCGAATATGTTCAATTCTTTAGCGAAGCTCAAGAGTAAACAAATGACGTCACCGTCCAATACCTGTCCGCCTGCCAGTCCAGTATGGAGTCAAGAATGGCTTAACATTATTTATACAATTATTACAATAATGCAGCAGTCTGCATAACAGTAAATCTTCTATTTTTTTGTGAATAAAAATTCCAAATGAAAAGCAAGAGTTACAATATAAGAGGGGCCTGTAGCCGTGACTAATGAAAAGAGAAAATGTTATTTTAGTGCCAGGAATGTCTACAGTGTTTATTCTGGATCCTATTTTGAAATTGGCATCTGTTGAAATTTGTGTGAAATTGGCCAAATTGCCAATCTCTGACCACTTTATTGGGTAGTTGAAATAAGTGAATGGGTGGTTTCTTATACTCAGTTGACAGACTAGAAGTAAATAAGTTTATTCAGGTATACACAAATACAGTTACATAGATTATCATACATAGCAGTGTATGTATAGAGAACCTGGGATAACCCAGAAAAGTCAGACAAAGTGACTTATTTCCAGTACCTGGCTTGGGCTTGCCATATATGATTTTTGGTAAATATATTTTTTCTTGGTTGTTTGTTGGGCTATCTCATTGAAACGTGGGCAATGTATGATGGAAAGATGCTTCTTAACGTACAACAAAAATAAAAAAGATGGACGATAAATAAGGGAGTTAACTTCTCAGCCATTAGCCGCCTCATTGCAGTATATTTTTGTATGGTTTTTATGGTTGTATTCTCATTTTTTTGGACTCATTTGATAGAATGGAAGATATTTTACAGAAATAGACATGATTTTGATTGCTTTCATGATGAAAGGTACCTTGAAATTGAGCTCAAAGTACCGGAAAAGTTCAATTTTTGCTGATATTCAATGAACTGTGTAAGTCAAGTTGGTTAATTTTATTATGTGTATTCTAACCTAACCACTCTGTAATTCGGCAAACTCAGTAATCCGGCACACTACAGGTCCCAATGATGCCGGATTTGTGATGGAGGATCTGTACCAGAACCTCTACCATCCACTTCTGTTGACAACCAACAACCATCCGCCTCAGCCCAGTAGGGCCACACCATCCATATCCACTCTCTCCACAATCATCCACACACATCATTACCCACAATTTAAGGTAAGAAATACTATTATTTCTATTGCATTTGTAGTCTTAAGCAGTAATATATCACGACAATGAACTACAATTACATGTTCACTTTTATTTTTGTAAGATTGTTGGTCTAAAATAAAGTTGTTTGGCTTTATGGGGGCTCCCAGGAATGTATCCCTATTTTTCCCACAAGTTCTTCAGTTCATTTAGCACAAATTTACCTAACATGACATTTTCAGGAACGTAACTACTGTGCTAAATAACAGTCTACTGTACATTAATTCTCATGGGAAATATCATTTCGGTTTTCAGCCTTTTTGGTTTTAGGCCCACTTTCTGGAACGAATTATGGCCAATAATTGAGGGTCCACTGTATTCAGAAAACCAGACAATAAGCATTATGAGACACCATCGTACCCCTAATGGTCCATTAAACCAAAGTGTTACTGTAAGTTAAGCACACATATTATACACTATTATAAAAAGTTATACTACATGGAATGAAAATGTACATAAAGTACAGTGGACCCTCGCCTAACCATATTAATCCGTTCCCGAGAGCTCAATGTTAGGCGAAATTATCATTAGGCAAATTAATTTTCCCCTAAAGAAATAATGGAAATCAAATTAATCCATCCAAGACACCCCAAAGTATAAAAAAAAAAAAAAATTTTTACCACATGAAATATTAATTTTAATACACACAAACTGAAGAAGAGATGTACAATACATGACACTTACCTTTATTGAAGATCTGGTGATGACTGATGGGATGGGAGGAGGGGAGAGTGTGGATGGTCTTAGTGTTTAGAAGGGGAATCCCCTTCCATTAGGACTTGAGGTGTCAAGTCCTTTTCTGGGGTTACTTCCCTTCTTCTTTTAATGCCACTAGGACCAGCTTGAGAGTCACTGGACCTCTGTTGCACAATATATCTGTCCAAAGAGGCCTGTACCTCTCGTTCCTTTATGACCACAACATTGTTAGTGTAATAGTCACCAGCACGGCTTGCAATAGCTGTGTCAGGGTGATGTTCATCAAAAAAGGTTTGCACTTCAAGCCACATTGCACACATTTCCTTAATCTTTGAAGTAGGCAACTTCTTCGATTTCTCTCTCCCCTCCTCCGAAGCAGTTTCCTCAGGTCTGGCCTCTTGCTGTTGAAGATGATCTAGCAGTTCATCAGTGGTTAGCTCTTCATTGTCCTCCTCCACCAACTTTCCACATCCTCCCCACTATCCTCACTAATATGAGCACTAGTTCCAGGCATTTTTTCCTGTTCACCTGGGTGTTAGTCAACTGTTGTGGGTCGCATCCTGGGGGACAAGATTAAGGACCCCAATGGAAATAAGTTAGACAGTCCTCGATGATGCACTGACTTTCTTGGGTTATCCTGGGTGGCTAACCCTCTGGGGTTGATCGTTTCTCGGTAATTGTTTCATGTTAAGCCATACCAACAACACACTCTCCACATCTTCGAGTAATACAGCTGATGGTAGTGCAGCAACAGCTGACTGTGGTGCAGCAACAGCTGACCATGGTGCAGCAGCAGCTGACTGTAGTGCAGCAACAGCTGACTGAGGTGCAGCAGCAGCTGACTGTGGTGCAGCAGCAGCTGTGGTACAGCAACAGCTGACTGGTCCAGCAACAGCTGACGGTGGTGCAGTAGCAGCTGACTGTGGTATGATAGTATTTCTCACCCTTTTTACCACAGGGTTGGCACTAGAAGCTTTCTTGGGGCCCATGGCCACTTATTTTGCAGGTGAAATCACTAAAAACGCTGTGATAATATGAAATGTTCCGATTGTATGCTTGGATGTGACCGCGGAGGCTGGCTTGTAAACAATGCCACCCAGAGAACAAGTGAGACTGGCTCAGGACGCACGTGGACGTGTCTCGGACGAATCGCGTTGAGCGAGTTTTTAGCGCTAGGCGAGGCAAAATTTTTGCTCTAAAATGAATCACTAGGCGAATTTAACATTATGCGATGCCATCGTTAGGCGAGGGTCCACTGTACTAAGTATAAAAAACTTAAATAAAATCTTTACATAGGAAACAATAATTTTTCTAACTAGGATATAGAGTTGTCATGCAATGGCATAAAAGAAAAATCTTTACCTACGATATGCTTCTCCTGAAAAATAGCATTGTACTTTCTGCCTGTAGCCTGTCAGCTGACACAGTGCTGGTACAATGAATGCTCTCTCAGCATCTGAAATCAGGTTAAAATAAGTTATCGGCTGGAGCAAAACAAAAACAAAATTTAAAAGTAAATGAGCTGGAGAAGAAGCAGAACCAGTATGTATATAAACTTCAGTATCAATCCTTAGATTAAAATTCTGCAATATCTGAATGGATTTGTAACTGCTTAACCTTTATTCTTATTGATACTAGCAAACAAGAGAGAAGAATCATATAAAACACATAAAAATTTATTTTTTTCTTATTTTTTTTAATTAACACATTGGCCAATTCCCACCAAGGCAGGGTGGCCCGAAAAAGAAAAACTTTCATCATCATTCAATCCATCATTGTCTTGCCAGAGGGGTGTTTTACACTATAGTTTATAAAACTGCAGCATTAACACCCCTCCTTCAGAATACAGACACTGTACTTCCCATCTCCATGACTCAAGTCCGGCCTGCCGATTTCCCTGAATCCCTTCATAAGTGTTACTTTGCTCACACTCCAACAGCACGTCAAGTATTAAAAACCATTTGTCTCCATTCACTCCTATTAAATATGTTCACACATGCTTGCTAGAAGTCCAAGCCCCTCACACACAAAACCTCCTTTACTCCCTCCCTCCAACCTTTCCTAGCCTGCCTTCCTTCCACTATAGATTTATACACCCCCCAAATCATTCTGTTTTGTTCCATTCTCTCTACATGTCCAAACCACCTCAACAACCCTTCCTCAGCCCTCTGGACAACAGTTTAGGCAATCCCGCACCTCCTCCTAACTTCCAAACTACGAATTCTCTGCATTATATTCACACCACATATTGCCCTCAGACATGACATCTTCACTGCCTCCAGCCTTCTCCTTGCTGCAACATTCATCACCCATGCTTCACACCCATATAAGAGCATTGGTAAAACTATACTCTCATACATTCCCCTCTTTGCTTCCAAGGACAAAGTTCTTTGTCTCCACAGACTCCTAAGTGCATGACTCACCCTTTTCCCCTCATCAATTCTACGATTCACCTCATCTTTCATAGACCCATTTGCTGACACATCCACTCTCAAATATCTGAATACATTCACCTCCTCCATACTTTCTCCCTCCAATCTGATATCCAATCTTTTGTCACATAATCTTTTTATCCTCATAACCTTACTCTTTCCTATATTCACTTTTAATTTTCTTCTTTTACATACCCTACCAAATTCATCTACCAACCTTTGCAACTTCTCTTCAGAATCTCCCAAGAGCACAGTGTCATCAGCAAAAAGCAACTGTGACAACTCCCACTTTGTGTCTGATTCTTTATCTTTTAATTCCACACCTCTTGCCAAGACCCTCGCATTCACTTCTCTTACAACCCCATCTATAAATATATTGAACAACCACGGTGACATCACACATCTTTGTCTAAGGCCTATTTTTACTGAGAAATGATCTCCCTCTTTCCTACATACTCTAACCTGAGCCTCACTATCCTCATAAAAACTCTTCACTGCTTTCAGTAACTTACCTCATATATCATACACCTGCAACATCTGCCACATTGCCCCCCTATCCACCCTGTCATATGCCTTTTCCAAATCCATAAATGCCACAAAAACCTCTTAAGCCTTATCTAATTACTGTTCACCTATATGCTTCACTGTAAACACTTGGTCTACACACCCCCTACCTTTCCTAAAGCCTCCTTGCTCATCTGCTATCCTACTCTCCGCCTTACTCTTAATTCTTTCAATAATAACTCTACCATACACTTTACACTATAATTTTTGCACTCTCTTTTGTCCCCTTTGCCTTTATACAAAGGAACTATGCACGCTCTCTGCCAATCCCTAGGTACCTTACCCTCTTCCATACATTTATTAAATAATAGCACCAACCACTCCAAAACTATATCCCCACCTGCTTTTAACATTTTTATCTTTATCCCATCAATCCCAGCTACCTTACCCCCTTTCATTCTACCCACTGCCTCATGAATTTTCCCCACACTCACAACTGGCTCTTCCTCACTCCTACAAGATGTTATTCCTCCTTGCCCTATACACAAAATCACAGCTTCCCTATCTTCATCAACATTTAACAATTCCTTAAAATATTCCCTCCATCTTCCCAATACCTCTAACTTTCCATTTAATAACTCTCCTCTCCTATTCTTAACTAAGACAAATCCATTTGTTCCCTAGGCTTACTCAACTTGTTAATCTCACTCCAAAACTTTTTCTTATTTTCAACAAAATTTGTTGATAACATCTCACCCTCTCTCTCATTTGCTCTCTTTTTACATTGCTTCACCACTCTGTTAACCTCTCTTTTTCTCTCCTTATACTCTTCCCTCCTAGCATCACTTCTACTTTGTAAAAACCTCTCATATGCTAACGTTTTCTCCCTTACTACTTTCTTTACATTATCATTCCACCAATCGCTCCTCTTCCCTCCTGCACCCACTTTCCTGTAATCACAAACTTCTGAACACTCTAACACTACATTTTTAAACCTACCCCATACATCTTCGACCCTATTGCCTATACTCTCACTAGCCCATCTATCCTCCAATAGTTGTTTATATCTTACCCTAACTGCCTCCTCTTTTAGTTTATAAACCTTCACCTCTCTCTTACTTGATGCTTCTATTTTCCTTGTATCCCATCTACCTTTTACTCTCACTGTAGCTACAACTAAAAAGTGATCTGATATATCTGTGGTCCCTTTATAAACATGTACATCCTGAAGTCTATTTAACAGTCTTTTATCTACCAATACATAGTCCAACAAACTACTGTCATAATGCCCTACATCATATCTTGCATACTTATTTATCCTCTTTTTCTTAACCCTTTGACAGTTTCGGTCATATACATACGTCTCATGAGCCACCGATTTTTGACGAATATATACTCATAAATTCTAGCGGCTTCAAATCAAGCAGGAGAAAGCTGATAGTCCCACATGTGAGGGAATGGGTCTGTGTGGTCAGTGTGAACCATATAAAAAAAATCCTGCAGCACGCAGTACATGAGAAAAAAAACTCCGACCGTTTTTTAATTCAAATGCCGACTTTGTGTTCTATTTTCGTATAGTATTTATGATTGTATTATCGTTTTCTTGGTCTCGCTTGAGAGAATGGAAAACATATTATAGAAATAGAGGTGATTCTGATTGGTTTTACTATGAAAAGAACCTTGAAATGGAGCTCAAATTAGGGGAAATGTTTGATTTTTGCCGATGTTCAAAAGTAAACAAATGATGTCATTTTCCAATAACTGTCCAAGTAGCCATTCTAATATGCAGTCATGAATGGGTTGACATTATTTATACAATTATTACAATACCGCAGCAGTCTGCATAACAATAAATCTTCTATTTTTTGTTTGAATAAAAATTCAAAATAGAAAGCAAGAGTAATATCAGAGGGGAATGGAGACATGACTGATGAACAAAGAAAATGTTATTTTAGAGCCAGGAATGTCTGCATTGTTCATTCTGGACCCTATTTTGAAATTGTCATATTTTTCAATTTTCATGAAATTGGCCAAATTGCAAATTTCTGACCATGTTATTGGGTAGTTGAAATCGGTAAATGGGCAGTTTCTTGTACTCAATCGATAGAAAAAATGGAGTTCTAAAGAAATAGCTATGAGTTTGGTCGACTGGAACAATGGAATTAGCCGAAAATAGGGCTCAAATTGGGCAAAAATCGCCGATTCGTAAATATCAGTTTTCCATCAAATTTTGTTCTTTTGGTGTCATTACAATCGGGAAAAGATTCTCTATCATTTCATAAGAAAAAATAATTTTTTTTTTTTTTTGAAATTTTGCGACACCAGGAGACACCTCAGGATTTGGGGTTGCGAGTCAAGGGGTTAAAAGATGTATTACCTTTAACTACATCCCTTTCTATACAAAGTTCAAAGGGCTCTCATTATCATTTACAGCTGGCACCCCAAACTTACCTACCACACCCTCTCTAAATGTTTCTCCTACTTTAGCATTTAGGTCTCCTACCACAATTACTCTCTCACTTGGTTCAAAGGTTCCTACATATTCACTTAACATCTCCCAAAATCTCTCTCTCTCTACTCTACACTCCTCTCTTCTCCAGGTGCATACACGCTTATTATGACCGACTTTTCGCATCCCTTATTTTAACCCACATAATCCTTGAATTTACACATTTATATTCCCTCTTCTCCTTCCATAACTGATCCTTCAACATTATTGCTACTCCTTCTTTAGCTCTAACTCTCTCAGATACTCCTGACTTAATCCCATTTATTTCTCCCCACCAAAACTCCCCTACCCCTTTCAGCTTTGTTTCGCTTAGGGCCAGGACTTCCAACTTCTTTTCATCCATAACATCAGCAATCATCTCTTTCTTGTTATCTGCACTACATCCACGCACATTCAAGTTTTTCTTCTCTTTTTTAGTAAATGTTTACAGGAGGAGGGGTTACTAGCCCATTACTCCTGGCATTTTAGTCGCCTTATACGACACGCATGGCTTACGGAGGAAAGATTCTTTTCCACTTCACCATGGACAATAGAGGAAATAAATTAGAACAAGAGTTATTTAGAAGAAAGAAGAAAAACCTGGATGTGTATGTATATATATGCATGTACGTGCCTGTATAGTGTGACCTAAGTGTAAGTAGAAGTAGCAAGAAATACCTGTTATCCAGCATGTTTATGAGACAGAAAAAAGACACCAGCAATCCTACCATCATGCAAAACAGTTACAGGTTTCTGTTTCACAGTCATCTGGCAGGACAGTAGTACACTTCCCTGGGTGGTTGCTGTCTACCAACCTACTATCTTAAAACATTCTAATCCTTATATATACTAACAAACTAGATAAAAGAATCACAGAACAATCTTCACAACTAACATGAACATTTCTGGCAGTCATCCAAGGGATCGTATTCCTCATTTATCCAGCACAAGTCACGAGATTTGATGAGTGAAATCAGCTCCTCAGGATCCTCCAATGCAGGTGCTAATACATAGCTCTCAATTACCAGAGCTACCCAAGTTAATCTGAAAAATTATAAGTTACTCATGCAAAACATATAGTGTGTATTATATAAATATATATATATATAATATATATATATATATATATATATATATATATATATAATATATATATATATATATATATATTTTTTTTTTTTTTTTTTTTTTTTTCAACAAGTCGGCCGTCTCCCACCGAGGCAGGGTGACCCAAAAAAAAAGAAAGAAAATCCCCAAAAAGAAAATACTTTCATCATCATTCAACACTTTCACCACACTCACACATTATCACTGCTTTTGCAGAGGTGCTCAGAATACAACAGTTTAGAAGCAATATACGTATAGAGATACACAACATATCCCTCCAAACTGCCAATATCCCAAAACCCCTCCTTAAAGTGCAGGCATTGTACTTCCCATTTCCAGGACTCAAGTCCGACTATATGAAAATAACCAGTTTCCCTGAATCCCTTCACTAAATATTACCCTGCTCACACTCCAACAGATCGTCAGGTCCCAAGTATCATTCGTCTCCATTCACTCCTATCTAACACGCTCATGCACGCTTGCTGGAAGTCCAAGCCCCTCACCCACAAAACCTCCTTTACCCCCTCTTTCCAACCCTTTCGAGGACGACCCCTACCCCTCTTTCCTTCCCCTATAGATTTATATGCTTTCCATGTCATTCTACTTTGATCCATTCTCTCTAAATGACCAAACCACCTCAACAACCCCTCTTCTGCCCTCTTACTAATGCTTTTATTAACTCCACACCTTCTCCTAATTTCCACACTTCCGAATTTTCTGCAATATTTACACCACACATTGCCCTTAGACAGACATCTCCACTGCCTCCAACCGTCTCCTCGCTGCTGCATTTACCACCCAAGCTTCACATCCATATAAGAGTGTTGGTACTACTATACTTTCATACATTCCCTTCTTTGCCTCCATAGATAACGTTTTTTGACTCCACATATACCTCAACGCACCACTCACCTTTTTTCCCTCATCAATTCTATGATTAACCTCATCCTTCATAAATCCATCCGCCGACACGTCAACTCCCAAGTATCTGAAAACATTCACTTCTTCCATACCTCTCCTCCCCAATTTGATATCCAATTTTTCTTTATCTAAATCATTTGATACCCTCATCACCTTACTCTTTTCTATGTTCACTTTCAACTTTTCTACCTTTACACACATTCTCAACTCATCCACTAACCTTTGTAATTTTTCTTTAGAATCTCCCATAAGCACAGTATCATCAGCAAAAAGTAACTGTGTCAATTCCCATTTTGAATTTGATTCCCCATAATTTAATCCCACCCCTCTCCCGAACACCCTAGCATTTACTTCTTTTACAACCCCATCTATAAATATATTAAACAACCATGGTGACATTACACATCCTGTCTAAGACCTACTTTTACCGGGAAGTATTCTCCCTCTCTTCTACACACCCTAACCTGAGCCTCACTAATCCTCATAAAAGCTCTTTACAGCATTAGTAACTTACCACCTATTCCATATACTTGCAACATCTGCCACATTGCTCCTCTATCCACTCTATCATATGCCTTTCTAATCCATAAATGCAATAAAAACTTCCCTACCTTTATCTAAATACTGTTCACATATATGCTTCAATGTAAACACTTGATCTACACATCCCCTACTCACTCTGAAGCCTCCTTGCTCATCCGCAATTCTACATTCTGTCTTACCTCTAATTCTTTCAATTAAAAACCCTACCGTATACTTTTCCTGGTATACTCAGTAAACTTATTCCTCTATAATTTTTACAATCTCTTTTGTCCCCTTTCCCTTTATATAAAGGGACTATACATGCTCTCCGCCAATCCCTAGGTACCTTCCCCTCTTTCATACATTTATTAAACAAAAGTACCAACCACTCCAACACTATATCCCCCCCTGCTTTTAACATTTCTGTCATGATCCCATCAGTTCCAGCTGCTTTACCCCCTTTCATTCTACGTAATGCCTCACGTACCTCCACCACACTTATATATATATAATATATATATTCCATTCTAAGGACAAAATACATTTAAAATACAGGATATAAAGAACAAAAGACTCTATGGCTAAGACAAATTTCATTCAAAAATATTGTACGTACAAAATTTACATGAAAACACATGAAGTTGTAACAGAATGCAATAATGTAATGCAATCAGGCTTGTAAACACTTCCTCTTGGAATTTAGACATAAAATGTAACAAATACAGTGGAACCTCAAATATTGAACTTAATCCGTTCCAGGAGTTAGTTCTAAATTCGAAAAGTCTGAAAAGCGAAGCAATATTTCCCCTAAGAAATAATGGAAATACAATTAATCCGTTCCACAAACCCAAAAATATTCACACAAAAAATACATTTTATAGAGATTAATTATAGTTTTACATACACACAACAAATACAGTGTTCAATTATGTATAATAAATTTAAATAAACATAAAATAACATTTTACTTACCTTTATTGAAGATTGGTGATGGCATCTGGAAGAGAGGGAGGAGGAGAGAGGGAGTTGAGGTTAGTGTTTGGAAGGAGAATCCCCCTCCATGAGGACTTCAGGTATCAAAGTCCTATCTGGGGTTACTTCCCTTCTCTGTCTTTTAATGCCACTAGGACCAGCTTGAGTCACTGGACCCCTGTCTCACAAAATAACTGTCCACAGTCCTCTGTTTCTGGTGCCTCTTTAAGATTTCCCTAAAATGGGACATGGTTCTGTCACTGAACTTGTTGCAAAGATGACTTGTTTCAGCTTGCTTAGGGTGGTACTTTTCCACAAACATTTGGACATCATTCTACTTCTGTATTATTTCCTTCTTCACATCTATGGTGTTTCTCACTTTCTTTACCACAGGGGTACCACTAGCAAGTTTCAAAGTTGCTTCGAAATAAGGGTTCTATTTTTGAAAAGTTTGATAAGCGATACGTTCGAAATTTGAGGTTCCACTTTAAACCCAATAAGAATATAAGTATGGCTAAACTCCATAAAAAACAGAAAGCCTCTGGCTTCTCAAGGTCCTCATAGCCAAAGATGAGGCTGTGATCATGGTCACCCATACAATTATTGTTTAGACTCGGTATTGCTTTGCCTGACCAATCAAACGATGTGCACATCATAGACAAAGTGCATAACTTGAGTAACTCTCTGGGCAAGGGACATCTAACCAAGTACAGATAGAAAGTGTGTCTGTCTCGCACTCAGCAGACAGAGGATAAAGTCTCAACTACGTCTTGCACTGAATGACACAGTGGGTTTAGCACTTAACATAAGCCCAAAGGATGGTAGTTGCAATTGGCAGGATGACAGCCGCATAATATCTCTATGTTGCAGGATGCTAAGTGTTCATTTGGTTACAGAGCAGTAGCTGCAAATATATATCCTGGCTTGTATAGTTAACAGTAGGACTGGTAGTGTTTAAACTGTTGTAGTTCCAAATTATCATTATTATTCATGATGAAATGCTAACCTGTGGGGGTTACTCAGTGTATAAGGAGTGGGACACAATCAAATCAGAGCCAACAAAGGGGCACCTTTAATTCCTTGGATCAAGAGACCTTCACCAATATGAAGGTACTCCCTTTGAAGAGTTCTTGATAGTTGCATAAAGAATAATTATTATTATAATCGTAACTAGGCGCTAAACCCACAAGGATCATACAGAAAGCACCATTATATCCTGGTTTCCAATACATTCCAATTACCTAGCCTACCCTTTTCAATCTCCACCTTTTTCAACTCTATCACATCCTGTGAGGTTTAGCAGAGTTGTTTTTCTTTTTAACACACCAGCCATCCTCCACTGTGATAGGGTGACAAAAAAAAAAATTGTGATCATTCATTCAAACACCGGGCTGTGGCTCGTACATTGGATTGTGTGCAGCCAGCAGTAACAGCCTGGTTGATCAGGCTCTGATCCACCAAGAGGCCTGGTCACAGACCGGGCCATGGGGGTGTTGACCCCCGGAACTCTCTCCAGGTAAACTTCAGGTACCAGAAGCGTGTTGACATTACAGTTCAAATGTCCCTTCTTTCAAGTGCAGGTTATGTAAAGTTTTTCAGGAACAGGACTAATGTTTCCTGATGAGGGTCTTAGTCATATAATGAACCGCTGCTGGAGCTTTTGGTCATTTGACCGAGGCCTTGCGCCAGCTTACCAGTCCACCCCCTTAAAAAACAGGCTATTTTTTGTTATATCAAATGTGTACTGTGTACTTCCTACCTCCAGGACTCAAGTCTGGCTAACCAGTTTACCTTGATTATATTTCAACAGCACATTGTCATAAAAAACACTTACCTCCACTCTAATCTAACATTCTCACACAAGCCTATTTAATGTTCAATCCCCTAGCACTGAAAGCCTCCTTTGGCCCTCCCTCCATCCTTTTTTTTGGAATGACTCATATCCCCCTTTCCTTCCAACTCTCATTTATTTGCCCTCTTAGACATTCTATTTTTCTATATTGTCTCTAAATGCCCAAACCACCCCAAGAATCACTCCTTAGCCCTCTGCATTATATTTCTGGTAACCCACAACTTCTAATCTCCAACTCGCTACCGGAACAGGTCAAGGATCCCCTGACGGCTTATAAATTTAGGACTTTACTAAAAAATCATCTTATTTCACAATATTAACCAAATCAACCAACACATCTGCTAACTAGTTTTATTATGTGACCTCTAGGCTCTTAATTCTGCCAATCCATAAAATCATCCTATTTCTCAATATTAACCAAATTGGCCAAAACATCTGCTAATTAGTCTTATTATGTGACCTCCTGGCTTTTATTTCTGCCATTCCATAAAATATTACCACCTGCACCATTACTTGTAAGGTAGATTTTGTGTGCAATTTCAAGCTTATTTTACCGAACCCTACTCACCTGTATTAAGTTTAAATAAGATTGTAGAACATCTAACCACTATTACTTGTCTAGTTTCAAGTATAGTTACTATGTACTACTATTATCTTATCGAGTTTTAAT